GCGCTTTTTTTTTTTTTGTTTGTTTGAGCGGAGTCTCGTTGTTGCCACGCTGGGATGTCAGGTGGCTGGATTCAGCTCGCGGTGCAAGCTCCGCCTCGCGCGGGTTTACGCGCCATTCTCCTGCCTCAGCCTCCTGAGTAGCTGGGACTACAGGCGCCCGACCTCGCCTGGCTAGTTTTTTTTGGTATTTTTTAGTAGGAGACGGGATTTCACCGTGTTGGCCAGGATGGTCTTGATCTCTGACCTCGTTGATTGCTGCCGTCTCGGCGCTCGCCAAAGTGCTGGGATATAGGCTGAGCCCACGCGCCGGCTGCCTTGTGCTTTTTCTTGTGCATGTATTTATGATTATCTGACAGTCAGGAATGCCAGTGCTTGTGTCGACGGATTCAGTGGCTCAGAAATCTCATGAAACGACAGAACTGCCAGCGTTCCACCGCGTGCACCAGCACCACAGGGTGACGTGCCTGCTGCAGGGTTACATCTCTGTCCAGCCAAGCGCCAAGGCACCCTGTCTGCTGCGATCAATCGTCTCCTTGGCTACAGAAGCTGCATGCCCCAGAGGAAATTCAGGTCTGGCCTTGTGTCGGTGTTGTTGGTGTTTTGTGGGATTGAGAGGGTGGTTTGGTGTTGCCTCAGGAAAGAGCTTTGTGGGGTATCCGTTACGCTCCACACTTTGGTTGAAGGGCCAGCGCAATGGAGGGCGTCATTCGGGCCTTCATCTATCGCACAGTAGATGATAGGAGGGACACGCGCAAGGCCAAGTGTGGGGGAGTATCCCTATGGTCCCAGCACTTTGGGAGGCTGAGGTGGGAGGATTGCTGAACCCCCAGGAGTTTGAGATCAGCCTGGGCAACATAGTGAGACCCCATCTCTACAAAAGAAATAGAAAAATTAGCCATGCATGGTGGTGTGCACCTGTATTCCCAGCTATTTGGAGGCTGAAGCAGGAGGATTGCTTGAGCCCAGTAGGTTGAGGCTGCAGTGAGCTGAGATCACGCCACTGCACTGCAGCCTGTGCAACAGAGCAAGATCGGGCTCTAAAAAATAAGTGAACAAAAGGACAAAGTACAAAATAATGCAAGTTCAGGGGTGCCCAGCTTTAGCCCAGGACTCTAGATGTTGATGGGCGTCTGGACCAGTAGTTTGAAAACCCTGCCCTGGAGAGACTTTGCAGAGGAAGGAACACGGCTTCAGAGCCCTCTTCATCTGAGGTGTCATTTATTTATTTATTTTTAAGACGGCGGCTTGCTCTGTCGCCCAGGCTGGAGTGCAGTGGTATGATCTCAGCTTACTGCAACCTCTGCCTCCCGGGTTCAAGCGATTTTCCTGCCTCAGCCTCCTGAGTAACTGGGACTACAGGCGCCCACCACCATGCCAAGCTAATTTTTGTATTTTTAGTAGAGACGAGGGTTTCACCATGTTGTCACACTGGTCTTGAACTCCTGACCTCGTGATCTGCCCGCCTCGGCCTCCCTAAGTGCTGGGATTGTAGGCGTGAGCCACCGCCCCGGCCTATTTTGAAAATCAGAATCTATTTTTGGTTGCAGAACTGAAGATCCAGAGACTAGGCTGGAATGAGAAGGTCCCTTCCTTTTGCCACACTTGGCCCAGGCTTGCTACTTCCCCCACCCCCTATAGCTATGGAGCAGGAAGATCAGAGCTGGGCGGGGTAAGGGTGTGGAGGGCCGTCTGTCCAGGCTCACAGCCCAACAGAGGCAGGCTCAGGTTCACAGCCTGACAGAGGCAGATCAGAGCTGGGTGGGGTGAGGGTGTGCAGGGCCCATGGGCGCTCATCTGTCCCAGGGCATCCGGGTTCACGGCCCGACAGAGGCTCAGGTTCTCCCTGGAAAGTGCTCCTCATGGGTGGGCAATGGCTGCTTCCTGATCTCTTTGGCAAGAAAATGTCTTTGCCGGATATATTATTTTTTGTATTTTCCTCATAATAATTCAAGTTCAGGAGTGATAAGCTTTAGCCTAGGACTCCAGATGTCAGTGGACAGGAAAGGCCAGAATGGACACAGGTTCCCCAGAGAGAAGCGGAATGTCGGGGGCTGGGGAGGGCTGGGGAGCCGGGGCACAGCAGCAGGAGCAAGGCCGCCCACCACGTGGTCTCAGCTGGGCCTCAGCCTCTGGCCTGGGTCCTGGGATGGGCACCTGTGGCTTCCTGCTAGTGGCCCTGCAGGTGTCCAGACCCTCGGGAGCCAGAGCGAGATGGCCCACAGACCTGTGTCCCCTCCCTGGGGCTCTCTCCTCCAGGTGACCTTAATGCTGCTCGACCAGAATAACCGGGAGCACGTGATTGATGCCTTCAGGCCCGACGTGACCTCGTCCTCTTTTCAGAGGCCAGTCAATGACATGAACATCGCAAGCGGCTGCCCCCTCTTCTGCCCCGTCTCCAAGATGGAGGCCAAGAATTCCTACGTGCGGGACGATGCCATCTTCATCAAGGCCATTGTGGACCTGACAGGGCTCTAACTGCCCCCCCTGGTGTCTGGGGGTTGGGGGCAGCCAGGCACAGCCGGCTCACTCAGGGGCCACCACACTGGGCCAGGGCCTCACTGTACAAGTGGGCAGGGGCCGCGCTTGGGCGCTTGGGAGGGTGTCGGCCTGCAGCCAAGTTCACTGTAATGGGGGAAGGAGCCACCAGCCAGTCCTCAGATTTCAGAGACTGTGTGGAGGGGCCTGGAAGATAGGCTTAGCCCAGGGCTGTGGTGGGATTGGCTGAGGGTTTTCAGGTGCTTCCCAGCGCAAGCTGCCCTTGCTGTCTTGTGCAGTGAAGGGAGATGCCCTGGGTGGGGACACGTGGTGTGGGAGCACATCCCAGCAGTGCCCGTGCAGCAGGAGCGCGGTGGATGACCTTGTGTCCCTCGGGCATGACAAAGGAGGAGGGCTGCTCCAGGAGAAGGGCCTCCTGCTGGCCAGAGCGAGGAGGGCCGAGAGGCTTGGTTCTCCCCTCTGGCCCCTGGAGAGAAGGGAGTGTTCTTAGACCCCTGGGTGCTTGTCTGCACAGAGCTCTGGTCTGTGCCACCTTGGCCAGGCCGGCTGTGGGAGAGGGTCTGGTCCCACGCTGCCTCTGCTCAGACCACTGTGTGGGGGGTGCACAGCACAGCCTGCGGGTGAAATGTGAGAGCTCACCATCGAGCTCACGAGACAGTTATTAAACCATTCAAATCTCTGTGGTCAGTGGCATCCATTTGATTCCAGGTTGCCTGTGGCTTCCAGCCTTGGCAGTGGTGACCCTCTGCGGGTCCTCCTGGCCTCCTCTCCTCTCACAGACCCCTCCCCACAGGGTGCCTGGCCCCTGCCTGCTTCTCTAGCTAGCCAAGCTGTTCTCTCTGTTCCTTACCTGCTGTAAGCTCTCTCTTCTGGAGCCTTGGTGAAGCCCAGTGTTCCCTCTTCTGGAATGTTCTTCCCTGTCGAGCTCCTCTCCTGGGCCTCCCCAGGGACTCCTGTGAGAGGAGGATGAGGATGAGCCAGCCCTGGTCCTGCCTCTCTGTGTACAGGCTCCACCGAGCATCCTGGCTGCACCGGGGGTCCTGGCTGCACTGGGGGTCCTGGCTGCACCGAGCGTCCTGGCTGCACCGGGGGTCCTGGCTGCACCGAGCGTCCTGGCTGCACCGGGGGTCCTGGCTGCACCGGGAGTCCTGGCTGCACCGAGGGTCCTGGCTGCACCGGGGGTGCTGGCTGCACATGGGGTCCTGGCTGCACCAAGGGTCCTGGCTGCACCGGGCGTCCTGGCTGCACCGAGGGTCCTGGCTGCACCGAGGGTCCTGGCTGCACCAAGGGTCCTGGCTGCACATGAGGTCCTGGCTGCACCGAGGGTCCTGGCTGCACATGAGGTCCTGGCTGCACCGGGGGTCCTGACTGCACTGAGGGTCCTGGCTGCACCGCCCCTGTGGTGTGTTCTCGGGACAGCACAGGTAGGTGTAGGCACAGCTTCGCACTCAGTATCGGGGCAACTGTGCTGGGACCTATTGGGCATCTGTATCGGGGTCCAGGATAAAGTGATGTCGTCTCTTGACATCTTCATGCACTGCTGTAGTTTGAGAAGTTAAGACCAGAGAAAAATACAGAAAATAACTCAGGCACAGAACTGACCAACAGGCATTGTCTGTGTTCTGTGAGTGTGCTGGGCCTAAAAAGCGGGCGTCACAGAGCCTTGCTGTTCCCTTTCCCGGCCTCACCTCAGCTCCCCAGGCCATGTGGCAGGAACTGTGGTGTTTCAGTTCTCTTTGGCTTTAGAATTTTGCATCTGTATGTTTCTGTATTCACAAATAAGAGTATTGCATTGAAAATGCAGAAACCATCCACTGGGACGGCTGCAGGTAGCTGGGCTTTTTACTCAGCCTGACTACTCTTAATGCCTGTTGTGCTGGGCACTCTGCATGGTGGATTCTGACTGCTGTGTGGGAGCTCCCCAGAGAGCACCTCCCAGTCTCTTCCCGTGTCTTCAGGGTTTGGTGACTAGAGACAGCCAGACCTGCTCTCTTGGGTCTCCTGTCAACCTGGAAGGAGGGTTGGTGGTTTCTAGGCCTCCCCTTTTTAGCAGTTGCCAGCTTGCTTTGCGGAGGGGCTGCATCTAGTCCTTCCACCAACACCAGGGGAGGGTTCCCATCGCTCCCATGCCTGCCCACGCTTCGTGTTGTTGGAATTGAGAAGATGCTGCAGCCTGCTGTGTTTGAAGTGGCATCGCTGTCACATGCGTTTCTCTGGTGACTCGGCGGGGTCGGGCATCTTGACCACGCTTACCTCTCCGTTGGATTATCTCCCGTGCGAATTAACCTGTTGATATCTTTCTCATTTTTCTTCTGGTTGTTGGTCTGGGTCTTATTCTACTGGTTGGTAGGAGTTCCTGATATTCCTGATTACAGATTCTCAGTTGTCTTTGAACTGTGTTTCTGTTCCTGACGTGCAGAAGCTTAAACCCTACGCATGATCAGTTGATCTTATGCTTTATGAATGGTGCTATTTCCGACTGACTCAGAACATCCGGACCTTCCCTGAGGCTGAAAACCACTGTCATGTTTTCTTCTAATGATTCTGAAGTGTTGCCTTTAACATACTGGGCTTCTCTATTTGGGGATTTATTTTATATGACAGGTTTTGCTGGGTCACTGCAGTTTGTTAAAGCAGACAGAAGAGGTCATCTCTTCTCACTTGAAGCGAAATGGAACTGTGAAATGAGAGGAATGGGACCAAAAAAAATCCTCCCACAGGGACAAAGACGGGGAAGAAGCCAAATCTCAGAGGATTTGAACCCATTTTGGAAGGTGGGAAGTGGGTTGGTGGGTGGCTGTTGAGCAGAAGAGGGCTGAGGGGGAAGCTGGCCACCCCGGGAGACCCTGGCACAGCAGAATCCGAGCTAAAAGTGGATCAGCTGAAAGACCTTGCAGGTCCTTTGCCAGCCAGAGCAGCCAGATGGTTCTCCTGGCCCTCACCTCCCTGCGGTGGAGATGGAGGTCCGGAGAACCTGGGGGAAGAGCTGAGGACCGCACCCACGACGCAGTTGGAGCAGCATCGGGCTCCAGGCTGAAGAAGGGGCAGAGGTCTGCACTCGGAACAAATCTCTAGGTGCTGGCTGCTGCGTGGAGAGGCTCCCACAAAGCAGACCGAGGCCCCAGAGGAACAAAATGCTCTGGGGCGCCCCGTGGGCAGGCCTGGTCCAGCCGCCTCGTGGCCTTCTGGGGAAGTGACAGGCTCTGTGCAAACCCACAGAGGTACCATCGTCACTATCTAATTTTGGGACATTTCATCAGCCTGCAGAGAAACCTTCCCTTAGCAGTCACTCTCTTCCCCTCCCCTCAGCCCCTGACAGCCAGCCACAAACCTACCTTCTGTCTCTAATAGATTTGCCTACTCAGGACACTTTTACTCAGCAAGATATTTTCAAGGTTCTTGTGTGTTGCAGCATGCGTCGGAGATATTTCATTCCTTCTTATGGTTGAATAATATTCTCTTGTAATATTCTCTTGTATGGATGCACCACACCTTATTTATCCATTCACCCGTTGCTGGACATGGGGGCGGTTTCTACTTTTTGGCTACTCTGAAAATGCAGTTGTGAACATTTGTGAACAAGTTTTTGTGGGGACACATATTTGTTTTCATTTCTCTTGAATATTTATAGAGGAGTAGAGCTGCTGGGCCACTTGTTCAGCTCGTGGAGAAATTTGCCAAACTTTCATGTCACCTTTCATCTCCCTTGGGAAGTGTTTTGTTTTTTTTGTTTTTTGGTTTTTTTTTGAGACGGAATCTCGTTCTGTCTTCGTGGCTGGAGTACAATGGCACGATCTCGGCTCACTGCAATCTCTGCCTCCCAGGTTCAGTCAGTTCTGCATGAGCTTCCTGAGTAGCTGAGACTACAGGTGCCTGCCACCACGCCCGGGTAATTTTTGTATTTTTAGTAGAAACAGGGTTTTACCATGTTGGCCAGGCTGGTTTCAAACTCCTGACCTCAGGTGATCCCCCCACCTCGGCCTCCCAAAGTGCTGGGATTACAGGCGTGAGCCGTTGCATAACATTTTTAAATTTCACATACTAAAATTGATTTGTTCTTTTGTTTTGTTCATGGAACATTCAGTTCCATGGATGTTCACACCGGTGCAGATTTGGGTAAGCACCATAACTGGGAGACAGGCGAGCCCTGCCGTCTCAGAAGACCGTTCCATCTCCCCATAGTCACCACCCCGACCCCGGCAACCACACACCTGTCCTCCACCCCAACCCGGCAGCCACGCGCCTGACCTCCCCCACCCCGACCCCGGCAGCCACGCGCCTGTCCTCCCCCACCCGGACCCGGCAACCACGCGCCCACTATAGTTACGTCTTTCCAAGAAGGTCCCATAATAGAGTCCTACAGTGTGTGGCCGAGAGCAGCGGGACCTGCAGAACCCCTCTGAGGTTGATGAGAATGCGTGCATCCGTGCGTCGGCATTTGTTTTCTCTTTTTTTTTTTCAGTAGTGCTGTATGGATGGATCAGTTTGTCTCGTCACCTGTTGAAGGGTATTTGGGTTGTTTCTAATGTTTTGCAGGTCTGAATAGAGCTGCTATAAACATTTGTGTACAGGTTATTGAACACATTTTTATTTCATTACGATAGTTAGCAATGGGGCTGCTGGATCACATAGTAAGTGTATTTTTAAATTCAAAAGAAACTGCCAAGCACGTTCCGAAATAGCTGTGGCCTGTCGTGGAACACCAGCTTGAGCCACCGTTCCCGCTGCTCCACATCCTCATGGGCACTTTGTGTTCTCAGCATTATGTTTTTATTTCTTTTTAAGAGATAGAGTCTTGCTGTGTCACCCAGGCTGGAGTGCAACGGCGCAGCCCTACCTCACTGCAGCCTCAAACCCGTGGGCTCCAGTGATCCTCCCACCTGGGCCTCCCCAGTAGCTGGGACTACAGGTTCACACCATCAGACTCAGCTTATTTTCTTTCATTTTCGTAGAGACAGAATCTCACTATGTTTCCCAGGGTGGTCTCAAACTCCTGGTCTCACACCGTCCTATCTTGGATGCTGGGATTGTAGGCGTGTGTCACTGTACCTGGCCAAACTTTATTCTTGTTTTTGTTTTCCTTTTCCCTCCCTCCCTCCTTCCCTTTTTTTTCCTTTTTTTTTTCTTTTTCTTTTCTCTTTTTTTTTTTCTTTTTCTTTTGCCCTGCCCTGTCCCCTCTTTTTTTTTTTTTTTAAAGACAGTCACGGTCTCATTCTGTTGCCTAGGTTGGAGTGCAATGGTACAAATCCTACCTCACTGCACCCTCGAAACCTCAGGCTCAAGCAGGTCTTCCTACCTCAAGCCTCCCAAGTAGCTGGGACCACAGGCACACCACCACACCCGGTAGAACTGGATCTCCTTTTTTTTTTTTTTTTTGAGACAGAGTCTCGCTGTGTCATCAGACTGGAGCACAGTGACCCATCTTGGCTCACTGCAACCTCTGACTCCCTGGTTCAAGCGATTCTCCTGCCCCAGTTTCCCAAGTATTTGGGATTACAGGTACGTGCCACCACACCCAGATAATTTTTTTGTATTTTTAGTAGAGTCAGGGTTTCACCATGTTGGCCAGAATGGTCTCGATCTTCTGACCTTATGATCTGCCTACCTCGGCCTCCCAGAGTGCTGGGATTACAGGTGTGAGCCACTGCTCCCCGCCAGAGACAGGGTCTCTCTATGTTGTCCAGGC